TATGAGACAAAACCCAGATACACGATACAAATTTTATAAATTGTATCGAAAGGTCAACATTCAAATACTAAGGCTTTCCTACCTCAGGAATAGATTACCTTAGCTGTATTTGGCAAAACTTTTAGAAATTTTGGTCCTCAATGCTCATCAACTTCGTGCTTTATTTGGATTCGAGCGTCACTGATTAGTCTTTTGTAGACGAAACGAGCATCTGGCGTAAATACAAAATTTAATCCTGGTATCTATGACGAGTTTATTTGTATCGAAAGGTCAACATTTGGTCTTCAATAATTGAGTCTTAGACTAGTAAAATTGAGAATGGAAATGGGAATGTGTCAAAGAGACAACAACCCGACCAAAGAGCAGAAAACATGCATGGGAAATTATTTGTAATCGATTTTAAAATCAAGCGCATACGCATGTTTCGAGGTACCTGCCATTGGGTGTTTCGTATTACTTTTTAAGGCTATACTTTTTGCATTCATAAAAGTAGCTTAATGTTGCCAAATACATATAACACTATCATTTTCTCTAAAATAAAATACGTATAGGATCAAATTACAGTCAAGTTATTTGGCATATTTTTATTTTTATTTCTTAAAGTCATACTAACATTTTTCATTGTGAAAAAACTATGAATTAAAGTACAGGACACTATACATACTTTATGTACGTCCATAATGTTTTTGTTTTGTCATTTTAGATGTAGACAGAATACCAGATTTTAAAGGGGTCGTTTGGTTGTATGATAGATTAAAAACATTCTTAGTATTCTCTTGTATCATCTTTCAGCGACCAATTAGAAACACTGTGATGTTTCTCGTAAACTATACAAGAGTGCACACGCTGAAATGTCTCGCCTTCTTTACTAATCACTTATATTATGTTGATAGTCCCAAATATAAAGCTTTATTACAACTGTCACATAAACTTAACATTAACCAAGTAAACTAAACATTGACCAATGAACCATGAAAATGAGGTCAAGGTCAGATGAACCATGCTAGGCAGGCATGTACACCTTACAATCATTCCATACACCAAATATAGTAGACCTATTGCATACAGTATAAGAAAAACAGACCAAAACACAAAAACTTAACACTGAGCAATGAACCTTGAAAATGAGGTCAAGGTCAAATAAAACCTGCGTGACTGACATATAGATCATAAAATATTTCCATACACCAAATATAGTTGAACTATTGCATATAGTATTAGAAAAAAGACCAAAACTCAAAAACTTAACTTTGACCACTGATCCATGAAAATGAGGTCAAGGTCAGATGACACCTGCCAGCTAGACATGTACACCTTACAATCATTCCATACACCAAATTTAGTAGACCTATTGCATACAGTATAAGAAAAACAGACCAAAACACAAAAACTTAACACTGAGCAATGAACCTTGAAAATGAGGTCAAGGTCAAATAAAACCTGTGTGACTGACATATAGATCATAAAATATTTCCATACACCAAATATAGTTGAACTATTACATATAGTATTAGAAAAAAAGACCAAAACTCAAAAACTTAACTTTGACCACTGAACCATGAAAATGAGGTCAAGGTCAGATGACACCTGCCAGCTAGACATGTACACCTTACAATCATTCCATACACCATTTATAGTTGACCTATTGCATATAGTATTAGAAAAAAAGACCAAAACTCAAAAACTTAACTTTGACCACTGAACCATGAAAATGAGGTCAAGGTCACATGACACCTACCAGTTAGACATGTACACCTTACAATCATTCCATATACCAAATATAGTAGACCTACTGCTTATAGTATCTGATATATGGACTTGACCACGAAAACTTAACCTGGTTCACTGATCCATGAAATGAGGTCGAGGTCAAATGAAAATTGTCTGACGGGCATGAGGACCTTGCAAGGTACGCACATACTAAATATAGTTGTCCTATTACTCATAATAAGAAAGAAATTAACATTACAAAAAATGTTGACTTTTTTTTCAAGTAGTCACTGAACCATGAAAATGAGGTCAAGGACATTGGACATATGACAGACGGAAACTTCGTAACATAAGGCATCTTTATACAAAGTATGAAGCATCCAGGTCTTCTAGCTTCTAAAATATAAAGCTTTTAAGAAGTTAGCTAACGCCGCCGCCGCCGGATCACTATCCCTATGTCGAGCTTTCTGCGACAAAAGTCGCAGGCTCGACAAAAACTGTAGATATTCTACGCTTTTATAACAACACATGTTACAATAAAAATAGAGCATGCTCTGGCGGTACCGATATCTGTGGGTGTTTTTTCACAGGCAATGTTTTTACAATGAAATATGAAATTGAAAACACAGGCTCTGTGTATGTTAACACAACGTTTGGAGTTCAAATGATACTAAAAGGAAACAACGGAAATATAGTTCAAATGACATTATTACGGATATATGATGGCAAAGGTATGTATAATTGTTCAACCAAGTAAATATTACTGTTCGTTAGGCTCACTTGTAATAGGTTACAAACTAAAACAGAGGGAAACACATCAACTATAAGAGACTATTAGAGTAAATCAACGAAACAACTAAAAACACTGAGCTAAAGCAACAAAAACAAATGACAATGCTACATACATGTAAACGAACTATTAGATAACAACTGCTATATTCCTGAATTGGTACAGGACATTTTAAGAAAAGTAAATGATGGATTGAACCTAGTTTTGTGACTAGCCAGACATCGCGCTTTATGGCAATGTTAAATATACCGACAAAATGACACCATTACATGGCAGGAATGCAGCACAAATAAATTAAAGAACACGCAAGACAGAGAAATACATATTAAATAAATAATATAATAGTACATTCGAAATGTTAACCACAGAATAACAACGAATCCCGATATTAATTTACACCATTTCACAAAAACAGCATAATAGAATTAGGAACTCTGCGTCACATGAATGTATCAACGCCACAAAATGTGACGTCACAGCTACGTTTCTAAAAATTGAATATAAATCGAGATTCGGTTTGTAATTAAAAATATGTTATTTAATGTATTTTATAACAATTAAAAGCATAGTAATACAGAATAGTGTTTACTTAGTAAGTAGATATAGGAAGGTGTGGTATGAGTGCCAATGAGACAACTCTCCATCCAAATTGTATTAACTAAATAAATGTATATCTGTTTTTCTTTTAAATCAAACTGTGTAAAACAAATAAATCCTGTGCATATAGTTGCTTTAAACTAAAATCTTATAAATTAACTGGGTGATTAATTATCTTTACTTTTACATACGACGAGAAATAAAAAATTAAATTAAAACTACAAATGATAAGACACAAAACAATATCCGATCTTCGGTCTTCGGCAATGCAAATTAACACTCAGCAAAATAGTCATCTTCGAGAATGGTCACGTTCGGTACTTGAAAGACCAGACGTGGTAGAAATGTTCTTAGTTAGTTTAGACACAGACACATCGTATGGATCAACCAATTTGTGATGGTGATGGTGTCCATAAAATGTATGGAGTTACATTTTTAATCTTTCCATCTCATAACTTTGTTGGATCAGTTTCTGCGTAAGGAGCACATCCCTGTATATAAAGTCCGTATTGTGTGAACATGCACGAGCATATCGTATCAACTGAGATATGTAAACACCATGCGATGGAGCAGAGGGTATGTTACTGCTGAGAAATGGGAAATTCATAATTTGGAAGTTGAAACATAATCATGTCCATGATCTAGATAGGCAAAGGAGAAAGAAGTAAGCATGACAAACGAGGTGGAAGATAATAATTTAAAAGGCATAAAGCAATACCCTTGACATTACATTCATTTACTGGCCACGAGGACAATAGTGATATAAAAATAAGGAGATGTCGTATGATTGCCAATGAGACAACTATCCACCAAAGTTTAAATAAAGTGGATCCGATGTGAGCAATTATAGGCAATCGTACGGTTTTCAACAATGAGAAAAACCCATACCGTATAATCTGCAATAAAAGGCCAGGATATGTGAAATATGGAACAATTCAATTAAATACTAACGGCCGCAATTATACCCCCCCCCCCCCTCCCAAAAAAACAAACAAAAAAACAAACAAATAGCGAAAAAACAAATATGACAGACATGAACCAACGAAACCAATGAACTAGAGGCTTCAGGTTTGGGACAGGCACATTTAGAATGTAGAAGATTTAAAAAGCTAATTTTTCATCGAAAAACAAACTAATACATTTTTTTTAGTTGTTGTCAAGGGGGACATTATATTAGCTTTTGTCCGGATAGCCAGTCAATAAGTGTTTGATTATACAGAAAGAAAATGGCTACACGTATATAGTTCGAGACAATGTATGGTCCATCTGTTCTAAATTAAATACTTTAGGTGGGCTAAATCGTCATTATTTTAGCATAGCTATTTTCATTACTGACGTCATTTTAATTTACTGCGCAAAGAAACTATCTTAAGGTAACACTATACCGAATGGCATATCTCCCGATTTTCCAACTTTTTGGCACACTTGTTCTTTGAATCGAGTTACATCGGAATATGTAATAAAAAATGGGGGTCACCATTTTTTTTTTCTTTGTAATTTTCATAGGAAAACGTCAATTTTGGCGACATATTTACATAGGTATATAGGGGAAATGCCTTTTTTTCGGCTTACCTTTTTAGATTTTTCAATGAATGGCTATGTTTTTATATACGGAGAAAAACAAAAAACTAAAATAATATCCAGGATTGCATACTGAATCCATACACGTATAGAAACTTATATGTCACCATCCTTGTTTTTGAGAAAAATGGCTTCAAAGTTGGTCGATACGCCTAGAACTTGACCAAAAACGTGTGACGTTATTAAATACAGTTTATTATATACTTAGTAGTAAATACAGATATATTGTATGTGTAATACAATCATAAGGGGACGAAGTCCCCTATTACAGTAGAAAAATCAATAAAAAAAAAAAAAAAAAATCGGGAAAATTTTCCCGAATTTTTCATTGTACTAATGAACTCAAAATCGTTAACTTTTTTTTAACTTTTTTTTCAGACTTTTTTTTATTTTCCCGCATCTGCGCAGAAATCTTTTCCGGTATCGTTTTGGCTCGGGACTTTAGTAAAATGTTATGGGGACGTACCTTACATCAGTAAGCAAATCAATAAAACTACTAAAAATCAAAATAAAAAATCAATAAACTAATGAAATCATTATCGTAAACGTTTTTCGAACTTTTTCAAACAGTTGCATTTCCCCCTGGCGGACGCTGCAATATATGTCATACGATTTCCCGAAAATTAGTATGTATGATTACCGGAAAGAGTATGGACGACAACACAATAACAATAACATTTGTATTCTTATAATGTCCTTTTTATAATTCATGGTTGACTTTGCTTTAATGTTGTTGTTTTTTCGTTATACTTTTAACAAAAAGACATGCAGATTCAAAGTTGTATGAAGTCATATAATGGTGATCGCTATGATTAAGGATCATTGTGACACGTTGGTTTTGGTACAGATCTGTTCCTTACAACTCGATGCTTCATAGCAACACGTCTTTTCGTTTACATTAAAATAGCAGAGTTTTCAGTCTTTTTAACCATTTAAATATACATTCTTTTAAGGTAGATCGGGTGTTTAAATTTTCGCGCCTTCTGCGCAACATGCTGCGCATAGTGTTGTAAACTGTCGTAAAATTTTATGAAAGTAATATTTTAACTTTTTTTTTTATATCTGTGAAAATTATCAGAAACGCTTTTAAAATCGTATTTTATAAACTCAATTATCAAACAAATAATCTCATTTCAGTTTGATTGCTGCAAATTGTTTACTTCCGTCATGGCGACCTGCACAACATGGTGAACAATGGAAAAAAATGAAAAAGAAACTGTGATCGTGATAAAGTGGACTGCTTTTTATAAATACTGTGATGTAGATCTGTAAATTAACAATATGATCTTCGTCCTGGTGGCTTATGAAGCAATCCCACACAGATTCTGCACAAAAAGTAGACGACAGAAAAAATGGGAGGTAAACAAGTTATTTTTTTGTGTGTTGCTGCTTGCCGTAAGTACAATTTATATCGTATCGTCTGCAGTAATCTTACAAATGATGGCCGAAAGATCTCAATCAGGAAGATTCAAAAAAGCAAACACGTTCTCTAGGGCAAATAATTTTATTAACACCAACGTCAAAGACTCACTTTCAGACCCCCCCCCCCCCACTTCTTATCATAATGAAGACGCAGATTCTGAGATGCCTTCTGTACATGTAGAGGTTCATGTCAATCTTGACCACACATATACCTTACCGCTGGTACTAGACAATGACCCTTTGGCAATTTCTTCTGAGATTGAAGATTAAACCTTTAGGATTTTCAGGCTTGATGTATGTCCAATGTCCTGAATGTGGTGGTGTGACAAAAATCAAGTTGGGGAAAACTCATCATAGTAGAAATAGTAAAAGAGGATGTGGAACTTTTGACATTAATACAAAAGCTGCAACAGGTGCACTTTTTATGTAGTTGTATTTACGAATAAAAACCTTTGTAGACTTTTTTTTTTCAGTCTCAAAATATATATATAATACATGTACATGTACATGTAGAGCTCTGCAATGCATGTACATTGTTGAAAAGTATAGGTAAACTATTTGTATTTGGGCAAAACGGATTGAAATGTTTGCAGAGCCTTGCATTTCCCAAGTTTCTAAGCCTCATACAAATGTTACCAATATTTTTTCAACACAGATGTATAGTAAATCAGTTATTCTACATGTACATGATGTACAGTGAAATTTTGATTTTAAAAATGTGCTCATGGATGTTTAAGGGTAGGAAGTGACTTTAAAAATATTTCTCAATCAGCAAACTTTTTTCAAATACATTGTTGTAACTTAATATACATCCTACCAATGTTGTATTATTAGAAATGTGAATGCATTTTTCTGTAATTCAGTCCTCCCTTCCTTCCCTCTCACATCCAGTTTAATTCACAAATAAGTAATATCCTTTGAATAAAGTCATGACATAAAGTATTGACTAGTTTTATATTTATTCATGTCAGATTATAATTGAAAATTAATATTCACTTAAAATAGTAAATAAAAATTTTAAATGCATGTCATGCATGTAGCCTATGATACCAAATAAATTTCTAGATTTCTAAACATACACATGTATATTTTGAGTTTAATCTTTGTTAAATAAAATAGTGAGTCACAAATTGGTTTATTATGTTATGTATATACATGTAGTTGCAATCATTTACAAATCTGTGAATTCTGTTGATTACATTTTAATTTTATAGGAATGCTCCATGCTGGTATTGGGGAAACCCAGCTTAACAATCTGCTTTCAACGATGAATGTACACTGTATAGACACTAAATCTTTGAAAGCCAGAGAACATGAAGTTGGCCAAGTATTGGAGAATCATGCAAAAGAATCTGAGCATAAATACTTACTAGAAGAAGCAATTGGGTGTTTAAATATTAACACAGGTTTGAAAAAAAACAAATTAGTATAATCATAATAATCATTTATTGGTCTTACAGTCTGTATAATTGTTTGTCTGACCAAAAAAGAAATTTGAAATTTTCTACTATATGTTCACCTAAAAACTCAAAATATTTCTGTCTGACATTTTGTCGGTCAGACAGAGTTTGGGTTTGTAACAACAAACATGCAAGGAACTATTTCTTCTGTTTAGCACCAAAACCAACAAAAAAATGTATGGAACAAATTCCTATTATATATTGACCTATATCACATATGTAGTATTCCCATTTTGCACTAGTGCAATATAGCTTAAAAATTAATTGCATCTATTATCAACAACAAAACAAAAATAACTTTTATTTTATAAAGCTTGCGATGAAAAATTTTGTGCAAAATGAGATTCTTCTTTGGACAATATTCCGCAATAATCCGGCAAAACCACTATAATACATGTACCATTGATCTCTTTTGTAAAATTTCATAATTTAGTCCTTGTTTATTTTCCAGTTATGTACATAAGTGGTTATCATATGAGTAACCACATCAAAATTTATAAGGAAATTCTGTTCACTCTAAGTACCGTGATAAGTTAAAGGGGACATAATTGGGTATATGTTCAAATGTACAGATTGCACACAAGAACACAGTTTTAATAATACACCGAAGAATTAGTTTGAGATCACTAAACCTACCCTCATTAAAAATTTGTGAAACATTACCAGTTACACATATTTCAAGCATTAACATATTGATACAAATGTACAGGATAATTTTCAAATACAGTTATTAGTCAAATTACACAGATGCAATCTTTACTGTCATGGTAACAATTTGAATATATAAACAATATAAATGAAAGCTTTATTTTTATACAATAGAAAATGAAGAAGGAAAAGGAATCACAGTATCAACAGACACCTGCTGGCAAAAGAAGGGTTCTGGAAGGGCATATAACAGTTTGTCAGGCATGCCTTTAACTGAGTTTAATCCAACAAGAACAAAGTTCAACAAATAATCAGATATTTTATTTTATTTTATTTTAAAAACTACTTTTCCGTTAAGGTAGTTCAGGGATATAGAATAAAAAAGACAGAATTTTCTTATACTTGGCCAAAATGAAGCTTTTACTATCCTTTTTACAAAAAATTGATAAAAAGTATGGGTCACCATACTATTTTTCAAGGTACTAGTTGTTCAAAATTGACAAAATTTGCTTAGATTGTTCGTGAAAAAATACATTTTTGTGCATACAAAGAAATCTATGAGACAGAATTTTGAAATAAAATATGAGAAGATAGGTTTTATAATATATTTTAAGAAAATAAAAAGAAAAAATGGTGTCACCGAACTTGTTTTCTTGCTACAAGTAAAAAATGAAAATTTCCCTATATGTCCAGTATAAATTTTGTACAAAAAGAGGTATTTCCCCTTTAATGGCTTATTTGAAAAATTAGTTCTATAAGCACAGCACATATATTTGGTATTTGTTAAAACATTTTTGATAATGTCAATAAATGGCAAATCTGTCTCCAAATTTGCAGATTTGGGCAAAGAACTAGACCCATTATTTACTGTGATTGTACAATTCAAGATGGCGGTATACTCCTGAACTTCCTTAAGCTAGAAATATTAGGTCACATAGTCCTATTTATTTTTTAATTTCACATACATACATCCTTAACATTATCATTCTTAACTGTCATACAAAGGTCTTTTTTAGATCTGATAATTTCTCTGCAAATATGTTAGTTAAACTGAATTTTCATGAAACCTTTATATGATAGAGGAGTTTGAAGATAAATTTTGGTTCTTAAATCCTTATAATTTATAATAATGACACTTGTTTCCATGCAAAGCATATTATGTTGATATGCACAAAGACAAAACATTTTTATTCAGATTATTGCAAGGGAAGATAATGTTGTGAAATTTTTGAAAGGGGAGATAATTCAACTTAAAGGTTTTAACTGCTTTTGAAGAAAAATATAAAGCTTGGACAATAAAAAACAGAATAGACCAGGAGGAGGGTGTATTCCTCTGTGAGCTTGATCAAAATAATTATAGTTTGATCTAATGCAGATATTGCTTATCTCTAACAATATTACAATATGGGACATTCATGTCCTTTAAACTCAAAATTTTATTTAAGCTAGTTTAAATTGAAATAAATAATTTCAGGTGTATCAACATTGATTGGTAAAAATACAGGAGGAGTTGTCCATCATGCAATAAGATGTCAGCAATGCAGAATCTGTGACAGTGCAACAAAAAGGGGGATTCAGCCCAAAGAGCACAAATGTAAGAAAAATTGGACAGGCTCAGCAAAGGCTATGGAGCCAGATATGCTAGTTCAGATGGTAATGGATGTGAAGAACAAAGGGATCAACATAGATGAAATTGCAGGTGAGGATGATACGACCGGATTCGACAGGCTGAAAAAGATATATCCTGAATCAAAGATGATTAAAACCAGTGACAGAAATCATGTAAAAAAGAATGTCATTAAAAAGTTATATGCAATTAAAAGCCAACATAAGCAGCTCTCTGACATGGTTATGAATTCTATATTGAAGAATTTTTCATTCATGATAGATCAAAACAAAGGAGATGTTGAAGGAATGGAAAATGGCCTAAAAGCTATAGTAGAGCACATGTATGGGGACCACGCCCATTGTAATAGATCATGGTGTGGATTTCTTAAAGACGGGGAAAAATATAAGCACAGTAATTTACCTCATGGAAAAGACTTGACATCTGATTCATTACGGACAGACCTAGAGAAGATATTTTTGGGGAATGACTCAGTCAATCCAAGGAAACTTGCATACCTGTCAAGCTCACAAGCAAATGAAAACTTTAACAACATGCTTGCTGCAAAAGCTCCAAAAGCGAAGCACTACTCCTCATCAGCAAGCTTGGGCTACAGGGTAGATTCTTCTATCTTGCAAAAGAATGAAGGATATGCCTATGTTAGTGAGGTATAACTATATGCACCCTTCATTAGCTCTTTAAAAAATTTAAAAGATAGATGATCAATGTAAAATACAGTTATTTTAGCAGTTTTTGGCTTTTCATCTTAAACTGCTGTAATTTAGAAATTTTTGGGTGCATTTATTAATGTGATTTTTGAGAAGTAAACAATAATGCAAGATTAATAACTGAGATTTATTGCAGTGACTCAGGATTTCCAGGTGACCAATTAATTTAATCTTCTTGAAGCTTGTTGTTATAATTTTCATTCATTGAAAAAAACTCCAAACATTCAGTATGGAGATAATTATTTGTATGGTCTGAGAAAGAACATTTTTTTTTATATTAAGTGGAAAAAATTTAGGGAGATAAATCAACAAATATATGCAAGATAAATCAACTTGATATTGAATGTTATATATACATCAGTTTCTACAACTTGTTGCTTTATTTATAACTACATCTAAGTTTATATGCTATTTCTCTATTCATATCTGATTCAGTATGAAAATACACATTTCAAAACTTTGTCTTATTTTCTTTATTTCATATATATATATATCTTTGAAAGTTCATGCATCCATGGGACTGTCTCCTGGAGAGGAAACAATAAAAAGAAGCTCCAAAATAAATATGAAAAGGAAAAAAAACCAAAGAAGCCAAGAGAAGACGTTTCTTCTTAAAGCAGACAAGAACCTCTAAGACTGCTAGTAAAGAAATAAGGGAAGGCAAAACTTACGAAAGTGAAATAGGTATATGTTAGTATTAAAAAGCCACCAATAATGTTTTATGAAATGTAATATTTAAATAAATCTTACTTAATGAAACATGTCATAACATCAAGGGCAGAATCAGGCAGGTGGTGAGGTGGGCTTGTGCCTCCCTAAAATTTGCAAAGAATGGCATGGGTTGTCAAAAGCTTAATTTCGATAATTTTACCTTAATAAATCTGTGCCCCCCCCCTCCCCTCTGCTTGTAATTTTTATTTAGTTTGCACCCTCCCCCCCCCCCTTTTGCCCTGAAATATTTCATTTAGTAAGATTTATTTATACTGTCCCCCCTTTTGCCCTGAACCTAAAATATTTCATTTAGTAAGATTTATTTATACTGTTATTATGAACTTTAAAATTATATTGGGACTTTCCTTGTCTATAGATTTTATAATGTTAAAATAACCAATCTTCATATTTCAATATATATGCCTAGATACGATGAGATCTTCAGTTTCTGAAAAAAAAATGACCACAACTATGCGAAACCAATACAAATGTTTTATACTATTTTATGTTATAAATAAATATTAAAAGAATGTTGTCTTGTGTGGGGAAAAAATTATGCATGTATGTAAATATTCTAGAGGCACTCCCACTTCTGGTTCTTCTTTGTGATTACTACAGTTTGTGAGAATTTGTTATTTAAACGTATTAAGTTCATCAAAATTGTTGTTTCAAGATTAAATTAGATAGATATAAGGAGACGTGGTATGGGTGCCAATGATAAAAGAGGATTACACATTCTGGTTCTTCTTTGTGATTACTACAGTTTGTGAGAATTTGTTATTTAAACGTATTAAGTTCATCAAAATTGTTGTTTCAAGATTAAATTAGATAGATATAAGGAGACGTGGTATGGGTGCCAATGATAAAAGAGGTTAATCCTTCAATAATTTATGATCAAATTATAGGATTCAAATCTGAAGTTACAGACAAAGAGTCCCAGGAGATTCCTGAAATACAAGACATCACAAAGATCCCTTTGAATGAACAAGAGTCAAAGCACCAGTAGTAATTTTTGATTTAGAGACAACTGGCCTCAGTAAGTGTAAAATTAACGTCTAACGTTTTAATCTCAGTTTAATTTTGTGATGCAAGTCACTTGATGTGAAAAATGAAAATTGAACTTTGACATGAATAATGTCTGCATGGTAAAAAATAATCAAAAAAATAAGTAAGACGAAGTAGTTAAAAAAAAGTCCACAAGTTAAAAAATGAAGTTTTAAAAAAAATGTTTTGCTCACAGTACACCAACAAACTAGAGGCTCTAAAGAGCCTGTGTCGCTCACCTTGGTCTATGTGCATATTAAACAAAGGACACAGATGGATTCATGACAAAATTGTGTTTTGGTGATGGTGATGTGTTTGTAGATCTTACTTTACTGAACATTCTTGCTCCTTACTATTATCTCTATCTATAATGAACTTGGCCTGGTAGTTACAGTGGAAAATATTTTGTAAAAATTTACAAAAATTTACAAAATTTATGAAAATTGTAAAAAATTGACTATAAAGGGCAATAACTCCTTAAGGGGTCAATTGACAGTTTTGGTCATGCTGACTTATTTGTAGATCAAACTTTGCTGTACATTATTGCTGTTTACAGTTTATCTCTATTTATAATAATATTCAAGATAATAACCAAAAGCTGCAAAGTTTTCTTAAAATTACCAATTCAGGGGCAGCAACCCAACAACGTGTTGCCTGATTGGTCTGAAAATTTCAGGGCAGATAGATCTTGACCTAATGAACAATTTTATCCTCATCAGATTTGCTCTAAATGCTTTGGTTTCAGAGATATGAACCAAAAACTGCATTTTACCCTATGTACTATTTTTTAGCCATGTCGGCCATCTTGGTTTCGCTGGCGGGGTCATCAGACACATTTTTTAAACTAGATACCCTAATGATGATTGTGGACAAGTTTGGTTAAATTTGTCTTAGTAGTTTCAGAGGAGAAGATTTTTGTAAAAGATTACAAAAATTTACGAAAAATGGTTAAAAATTGACTATAAAGGGCAATAACTCCTTCAGGGTTCAACTGACCATTTTGGTCAAGTTGACTTATTTGTAGATCTTACTTTGCTGAACATTATTGCTGTTTACAGTTTATCTCTATCTATAATAATATTCAAGATAATAACCAAAAACGGCAAAATTTCCTTAAAATTACCAATTCAGGGGCAGCAACCCAACAATGGGTTGTCTGATTCATCTGAAAATTTCAGGGCAGATAGATCTTGACCTGATAAACAACTTTACCCCAGTCAGATTTGCTCTAAATGCTTTGGTTTCAGAGATATAAGCCAAAATCTACATTTTACCCCTATGTTCTATTTTTAGCCATGGTGGCCATCTTGGTTGGTTGGCCGGGTCACCGGACACATTTTTGTCGAGCCTTCGACTTTAGTCGAAAAAGCGAGACATAGCGATCCTACATTCCGTCGGCGTCGTCGTCGTCGTTGTCGTCGGCGGCGTCCACAAATATTCACTCTGTGGTTAAAGTTTTTGAAATTTTAATAACTTTCTTAAACTATCCTGGATTTCTACCAAACTTGGACAGAAGCTTATTTATGATCATAAGATAGTACCCAGAAGTAAATTTTGTAAAAATAAAATTCCATTTTTTCCGTATTTTACTTATAAATGGACTTAGTTTTTCTGCCGGGAAATATTACATTCACTCTGTGGTTAAAGTTTTTAAAATTTTAATAACTTTCTTAAACTATCCTGGGTTTCTACCAAACTTGGACAGAAGCTTGTTTATGATCATAAGATAGTATCCAGAAGTAAATTTTGTAAAAAAATAAATCCATTTTTTCCTTATTTTACTTTTAAATGGACTTAGATTTTCTGCCAGGAAACAACACATTCACTCTGTGGTTAAAGTTTTTAAAATTTTAATAACTTTCTTATACTATTTTGGATTTGTACCAAACTTGGACAGAAGCTTGTTTATGATCAAAAGCTAGTATCTAGAAGGAAATTTTGTAAAAAAATAAATCCATTTTTTCCGTATTTTACTTTTAAATGGACTTAGATTTTCTGTCAGGAAACAACACTTTCACTCTGTGGTTAAAGTTTTTAAAATTTTAATAACTTTCTTATACTATTTTGGATTTGTACCAAACTTGGACAGAAGCTTGTTTATGATCAAATGCTAGTATCTAGAAGGAAATTTTGTTTTCTTCCAGTTAACATTACATTCAGTCTGCAGTTAAAGTTTTTAAACATTTATTAGATTCATAAACTATCCTGGATTTTTACCAAACTTGGACAGAAGCTTCTTACAATCAAAAGATAGTACCAAGAGGAATATTTTTATTGATTTACTTCCTCATTTTTGTTGAGCCTGCGATAAACAGAAAAAGTAGGCGAGACACTGGGTTCCGCGGAACCCTTACGAATTTTTTAAACTAGATACCCCAATGATGATTGTGGCCAAGTTTGGTCAAATTTGGTCTAGTAGTTTCAGAGGAGAAGATTTTTGTAAAAGTTAACGACGACGACGGACGCCAAGTGATGAGAAAAGCTCACTTGGCCCTTTGGGCCAGGTGAGCTTAAAATTGTAATCAGCTCATAGCGATTTGTTTTATTTTTAATACAACAGCAATGTTTGAATCACAAATTTGCACACATTTAAATAGCAACTTTTTAAGTTTATTGTCTGATGTCAATTTGTTTGTCCAGAACAGATTTAGTGTCAAACATCCATTTTTTGTTGTTCAGTTGCTGTCTCTTTCATACATAGCCGATTTCCATTATATATTTATTATATTTTATATTCACCTTGACATGCGTGTGTCAATAATAATTGAAAGCAAGATTGTGTGGCTTTATAAGTGTGTAAATGTGTATGTATGAAGCCAGATAAAAGTTGTTTTGATATTTCACTTATACTCCTTGTCATCAAAGATGCATTTTTTTTATTGTTCTATTGTAGGTAGGAAATCTGACATAACCCAATTAGCAGCCTATTCAGAAACTCTGAATTTTAGCACTTACATTTTTCCATCCCAGGCAATATCCAAAGAAGCATCAGAGGTCACACAAATTTTTGTGAATGGTAATCAGATGTTTCACAACAGCACTGCAGTTCAATACAAGTTGGCCCATGAAGCATTGACGGACTTTATTATATTTTTATCAAGTTTTCCTAGTAAATGTATTCTTGTAGGTCACAACATCAAACGCTTTGATACTCATGTGTTATATAACCAATTGCATATTCATAACATGTGGAATGAATTTTGCTTACATGTTTGTGCTTTTTGTGACACCTTAGATTTATTTAAAAGTGTTGTTCCTGGTATGTCTTCATACAGCCAAACATCTCTTGTAAGAGAGCTCTTAGGCGATACTTATGATGCTCACAATGCTATACATGACACCAAAGTTTTATACAAACTTGTAATTGAAAGAGGGAATTTTAAGGATAATGTGGTAGAATTTTCATTACCTGTTAGTTATCCTTATGATTCACATGTTATCCAAGAAAACTTGAACAGTTTTTCTCATGCTATAAATTGTGAAGCTATTTCAAAATCTTGTGCACTGAAGGCATCAAAATCTAACCTTAAATTGTCTCACTTTAAGTTAGCAGTACATCGAGATGGTATAGATGGACTTAAAGCTTTACTTGCTGAAAAGTCTAACAAGGGAAGTGTGAGAGTAACTAAATGTACAAGAGTTATTCAAAAACTGTTTGATTTTCTTCATGAAGATTGAAATAGTATGCAATAATTAGGTCATGGAAAATTACCTTGTTCTCAAGTTCACTAAATGATACAGGGGGAAGGAATTTTTTTATGCTCCAATATCAAAAAGGGAAAGGGCATTTAGATTTCCCCTTGTCCGTCCATATGTCCTGGTATTGGTTAGTTTTTTACCTGCGTTGTAAAAAGCATCATTTATATTTATCCTTATACATTTGTATGTAATGATATTGGTTAAGTTTATACTGCTGGAGTTCAATTTTTTCTTGGCTTTTATGACAGAGAATGCAAATGATTTTAATATTTGTTCTGGGAATGATTATTTATGCTATGGAATGCATATTACCTCAATCAATTGAATGGAGAGGCAGGTTCAGAGCCAGTATTGGTCTTGTTGTGTATATATGTCTGCTTCCTAGACATATACATGGTATAGCAATGAATATATATATAGGTTATTTGAGGGTCCATTTTACATCAAATAAATTTTTAAAAGCCAACTTTTCTTTTCATTCTTAAAAGGCTTTGCCAAATTAAAAAGAAATATTTTGAACATAAAGTTAACATTAGGAAGGGGCTGAGAACCAAGAAATAAATGTTATTTGGTTTAAATAAAAAGAGTAATGATGATGTAATTTTTAATGACTGTTTATAATATAAAAAAAAAACTATGCTTTGTATTTGTTGGAAAATGTCAAATATATCCTCATTTCCTGATGAGAAAATAAATAATCATACATAGTACAAATTTGTTGCCAATTATTTCATTCAAGAAACACACAAAATGAGTGTGACATGTGTGATCGGATCAACAATATCAAATTCCTTCCACACCGGCTGCAGGATTCATATCCAAACTTATCCAGTGTACTATAGTCTGTAGCTGTTACTCAAGAAATTAACTGATCACAGAAAATTATACTTATTTTTCATTTCAAATCTTTCTATTCAATATGGATCTTAAGTCCCCCTTTTTCATGTTTTTGATGTTGTTAAAGGAGTGATAAAGATTGTTCAGAAATCGTCTACTAATTGTATAAAAAACTGGATAAGTGCACTGTAAAACCTGGAATTACCCACAAATTGCGCATACAAATGTCATTACACAGTCCGGAGTAAGATGGTTGTCTTCGGTTTTGACTATGCATCAACTTTTTCCCATAAAAGGACAAACCAAAAATTGTTTTTATGAAAATACAATACAAGTTCTAGCTTCAAATGTGAAAATAAATGTGGATAGTGTCCACATGTGGACACATGATGCCCCCGCTTGCATATCATATAGTTATAAAGGGACATAACTGAAGAACGGTAAAAGTGACGCTACCCAAATTTGAACTTGATCTGAGTTTTGTGGTAGTAAGCATTGTGTGTAAGTCTCATAACATTTGGTTGAGGCTAACTAAAGTAGAGAACAGAAACTAAAAATTCAGCAATTTTTCTATTTGTAAACACGCATAACTCTAGAACGGTTGTGTATAAGTTTTATAACATTTGGTTGAGACAAACTAAAGTTAGAGAATGGAAACTAAAATTCAGCAATTTTTATGTTTATAAAGGGACATAACTCAAGAATGGTAAAAGTGTTGCCATCAAATTTCATACTTAATCTGTATTGTGTAGTAATAAGCATTGTGTATAAGTTTCATAACATTTGGTTGAGGCAAACTAAAGTTAGAAAACGGAAACAAAAAATTTGTACTTGATCTTAGTTTTGTGGTAATGAATATTGTGTATAGGTTTCATGTTTGGTTGGGGCAAACTTAAGTTACAGAATGGAAACTAAAAATTTTGCAATCTTTCGATTTATAAAGGGGCATAACTCAATAATGATTAAAATGACACTACCCAAATTCAACTTGATCTGTGTTTTATAAGTGGAAGTCAAAATTAAACATTGCATTGTATAAAGCATTGATTGTAGTTGATTCAACTATAATCATGGACAAAGGAAGATAACTCCAATTTTAATAAAATTACTTGATATTTAGAAGAAAATAAAAATTTTGCAATTTTTCCATTTCTAAAGGGGCATAACTCTAGAACGGTAAAAGTGACGCCACCAAAATTCAAACTTGATCTATGTTTTGTGGTAATAAGCATTGTGTATAAGTTTCATAACATTTGGTTCAGGCAAACTAAAGCTAGAGAACGGAAACCAATTTCGGGACGTACGTACGTACGTACGTACAGACGGACAAGGGTAAAACTTAATGCCCCCCCCCGCTACGGCGGGGGCATAAATATCAATCATTGACCTTGGGTTCAAAGGTCAAGTCGCATTGCAGTCCTTATAGCACATGACCTACCCTCCTTTCATTTTACACGTACTTAACAAACTTCATATTAATCTGTATAACAATGAAAACAAAATTTTTGACATCCAATCAATCATGCATACTTGAAATATCAATTATTTAACCTTGAAGCAAAAGGTCAAGGCTAAATTGCTAGCTGTCATGATGGTATACAACAAGTTGTCCCATGGTTTTACAAAAACATACAATACATCATCCATTTATCTCAAAAGACAAAAATGTTACGGCTTGGACAATTAACTACAGGTTTATAATATAACACTTAGGCAAGTTTCAATAATTTGACCTTGAGGTCAAGGGTCAAGTGAAAAATGCGGTCTTTGTGGTACACAACTCGCCCTCTCAATATTAAACACTAACATACCAAATACCATTGATGTATCTAAAGAAACAAATTAAAATCTGAACAAGAAAAAAAGTAAATTTCCAAATTTATTCAATTTATGAATTTAAAGTTAACTCCCTTTTTTTATCTATTTTCTTGTCTTATTTGATAATTAACAATAGAACCAACATCGGAAACGTTGCGGTATTTCCGTTTCTTTTTCAACAGATTCTGGATTATTCCTAGAGTTCTTTTGGGAAACTTACCGCATATCAATCAGACAGACTTGTATCTGTACAAAGATCCATAATAAATCGAATTTGAATGTTTTGTTATCCGCCGACATACGGGCTTCTTTAAAACTAGTAATCTCACTTTCATGTGTATAATCTTCAGGAAATTTAACTTAAAATCGTTCTTCTTATTTCATTAAATGTGTTTTTAAAACTTAGATACAAAGTCCACTCGTAGATGAGGGTCTGCGTGGGGTTTTAAAGAACCAACAAAATGTGCAGAAAAAAATAGCAAACAAATTATGAATAAAGAAAAATATGGCAAAAAAGTAAAAAATAGAAAATAATGGGGCACTCAAATTTAAAGAAAATGAGTCACTCAAGTATGAAGAATATAGACCCTTTTAGTTACCTTTTTATAAAAAAAATACAAAACAACTTTCAAGGAATAAGAAATAAGCATTGTATGACATAAAAAATATTAAACGCAGACAATTAACAAAAAAATACATCTTTTAGTTTTAAATCATACCTTTTAATAAATAATTTCAAAAATGAACTCGCAGAACAACTCTTCTTTATCATATATTTCAATAATTTTATTAGTGACAAACTTACTGCCAAAAGAAAAAGAAGTGACACCGAAATGAAGCTGAATTTTTAATAATGACAATTGACATTTATTTTTCTTATTCAAAATTATAAAATCATTCTACATAGAATGTGTCATTTACAACCGCATATCTTCATAAAGTACCTACATGTTACACTGAGGTATTGTGCAAAATTGACACAACTTTTGTTTTATATATACAATAACATGCATGATGGCTTACCATCACAAAAGAGTAAAAAAAGGAAAATGATACAATGAGAAGAAAAAAGAGAAATCAACTTCACATCACCAGATCTATTAGCAAGAAGTGAGAAATTTGTATTGTAACGCGATGCAGTAAACATGGTGAAGAAACAATGAAAAATGATTATTTCTAGCAACGTTTACCTTGTCACACAAATTTAAACCAATGTTTTTATGTTATCACCTTCTACATTCACAGTAGCCACTTGCAAACCCATTGCTCAAAGGTCATGCATCCCAATGAGATATGATGTATATTGAATTTTACAACCTTCAATCAGAGTTTAAAGTCTGAAGCAAGAAAATAAGACACTTTCATGACCACTGTTAGAGTGTTTCTACTCTATGTATATAGACGCTGAAACTGTAACACTTATATGACTTAAGCCCATTTCTATACTGTTTTATGGTGTGATGTTTTTCGGATGTTTATAAAAATTAGATGTGGTGTAATTGCAAATGAGACAACTTTATGTATATGCCTGTCCCAAGTCAGGAGCCTGTAATTCAGTGGCTGTCGTTTGTTGCTGTGTTACATGATATGTGTTTTTCGTTCATTTTTTGTACATCAATTAGGCCGTTAGTTTTCTCCTTTAAATTGTTTTAGATTTGTAATTTTGGGGCCTTTTATAGCTGACTGTGCAGTATGGACTTTGCTCATTGTTGAAGGCCGTACGATGACATATAGCTGTAAATTTCTGTGTCATTTGATTTCTTATGGAGAGTTGTTGGATTGGCAATCATACGACATCTTCTTTTAAATTTTTATCAACCGAAGATCAAATGAAGTGGATATAAACAATTATAGGCAACCGTATAGCCTTCTCAAAAGAAAAAAAACCCATACAGTATAGTTGGATATAAAAGGCCTTGAAATTACAAATGTAAAACAATTCAAACGAGAAAACTAAAGGCCTCGACATGTTTGTTTGTTTGTGTTTTTTTTTTTTTTTTAGCAGTCGTCAGTTAATTTTACTTTTTTTCTGTACGTTTTAAGAAGACAACTGTTATAAGCTATTTGAGACATTGAATAGTTGCCCTTCGAAAGCATAGAACTGTTCAAGTTTTCACTAGCTTCAATAGTGTTATTGTCTATTGTATTGGTGTGTCTGGAATGTCTCCAAGGCATCCATATTTAATAGTATCGTATATCACCTTCCACATTTTCCATATAAATTGAAATTACTAGTGGCACTTCCTTTATACAAGGTGATATGATGTGCCGCTGGAATTGGTCACCTTTTCAAGCTTGAAAATATGTGTAATGGTCGGGAAAATTTCAGAAAAATATGACTCTGAAATTTTCTAAAGGAATTTAAATTAAATTTTGCTATTTTATATTTTAGCCGGAAAAATTGTAGTGACCCTATCCTTTCTTATAATATTCTCAATAATCCATACAAAATGTGTCATTTTGTCACAATCTGTAGCTTCAGAAAATGCTCGATAACCTATCATTTTTTATTATATTTTTGAACATATCACAATATATACTACATTTAAGCAAAGTATGCAGTGGCGGATCCAGAACTTTTCATAAGGGGGGATGGGGAGCACTGGCTGACCTGTTAAGGGGGCCCGCTCCAGTCATGCTTCAGTGATTCCCTATATGATCAACCAAATTTTTCCCACAAAGGGCCCCCCCCCCCCCCCCCCCAGATCCGCCTTTGGTATGAAAAAATTCTATCAATTTTTAATTCATACTCCATTACCACCTTAACGGGATTCTAAAGGTTTTCTGACTTCGTCCCCTTTCACAGGTAACACCTGCCTCATATTAGGCAAGCGTGCTGTATCAGCCACCCGTGATGATATCAATATCAGCACGGTTGCAAAAGCTTTATCAAACCCCTAATCTGTATGACGTCATATCAAACCTATAATATGTATGACGTCATTTTAAACCTCCTTATCTGTATGACGTCATGTCACATAAAAAAACATCTACGTAAGGTATATGTATATCATAAAGTGTATATGATATAGCTT